ATTTTCATGATGACGGTGATGATGACGCTGCAAAACAGGATGGTGATGCTGGTGACGATGTTGATGATGATGCTGCTGTCGATGATGATGCTGCTGCGGAGCATGATGCTGGCGACGGTGGTGGTGGTCACTGCATGAGGGACGTCAGAGTTTCGAGCAGAGCGCTGCGCACCGTGCAAGGCGCGCTTCCGAAAGCAATCGTGCGGGCCCACGCCCCACGAACGTGAGCGGGCGGGTGATGATGATGATGATGATGATGATGATGATGATGCTGATGCTGATGCTGATGCTGCTGATGATGATGATAATGATGGTGATGATGATGCTGATGCTGATGCAGATGCTGATGCTGACGACGACGGCGATGCTCATGATGATGCTGATGATTATGATGCTGCTGATGTTGATGATGTTGGTAATGCTGAGGATCGTGCTGATGTTAATTCTGATGCTGATGCTCATGATGATGATGATGATGATGATGATGATGATGCTGATGCTGATGCTGATGCTGATGATGATGATAGTACTTTTGACGGCGGCGACGATGATGATGCTGATGTTGATGCAACTGCTGATGAAGATGCTGATGCTGATGATGAGTATAACGACGACGTTGGCGATGCTGGCGATGATGCTGATGCTGATGCTTATTATGATGATGTTGACGATGCTGATAGTGATGATGGTGATGATGAGTAGGAGGCTGATGATGATGATGATGAGGTTGAGGATGAGGATGAGGTTGCGGATGCGGATGGGGATGCCGATGAGGATGAGGGTGAATGTGAGGATGAGGATGAGGCGGATGATGTTGCTGATTATGGTAATGATGATGATGATGGTGAAGATGATGCTGATGATGATGATGATGATGATGATGATGATGATGATGATGATGATGATGATTATGCTGATTATTTCCATGATGGTGGTGATGATGATGCTGCTGCTGATGATGCTGATGATGATGCTGCTGCTGGTAATGATGATGCTGACGACGTCGACGATGAAGGGGAGGAGGAGGTGGAGGAGGAGGGGGCAGAGATGGAGGCAGAGGTGGGGGAGGAGATGGAGAGAAAGAAAGATGATCCTTCTCTACCTCCTTCTGCCCTTCTCTTCCAACAGTAGTGCGCCCAGCACCTGGCTGCCTTTTGCAGGTATCGGGCGCAGGAGTTTTCTTCGGAGAGCAGGAGAGGCCTCCAGAAAGCAGGATGATGATGAGGATACTGCTTACCATGATGATGATAATAATGATGACGACGATGATGATGCTGATGATGATGATGCTGATGATTCGGATGATGATGATAATGATGATGATGATGATAATGATGATGATGATGCAGATGATGATGCAGATGATGATGATGATGATGATGATGATGATGATGATGATGATGATGATAGTAGTGATGATGGTGATGATGGTTGCTGTTGATGACGCCGACGACGACAGACGACGACGATGACCTTGACGATGACGATGATGATGCTGATGCTGATGATGATGGTGATGGTGATGGTGATGGTGATGGTGATGATGATAGTGATGATACTGATGCTGCTGATGTTGCTGCTGATGATGCTGCTGATGATGCTGATGCTGCAGCTGGTTATGATGCTGCTGATGATACTGCCGATGATGATGATGATGAAGAAGAATATGATGATGCTGATGATGATGATGATGATGATGCTGATGATACTGATGATAATGCTGATGACGATGCTGACGATGATGATGATGCTGATGATGATGCTGACGCTTCTGCTGCCGAGGATGATGATGCTGATGATGCTATGCTGGTAATGATGTTGCTGATGCAGCTGATGATGATGTGATGCTGCTGATGATGATGCTGATGATGATGATGACTGTGGTGATGCTGATGATGCTAATGCTGATGCTGATGCTGCTGCTGCTGCTGATGATGATGCTGATGATTCTGAGTATGATGATGATGATGATGATGCTGATGATGATGATTATGATTGTGGTGACGATGATGATGTTAATGCTGCTGATGATGGTGATGATGATGGTGCTGCTGCTGATGATGTTGATGATGATGATGATGATGATAATGATGATGATGATGATGATGATGATGATGCTGATGATGATGATGATGATGATGATGATGATGATGATGATGATGATGATGATGCTGATGATGATGATGCTGATGATGATGATGATGATGATGATGATGATTGCGACGACGACGACGACGACGACGACGACGACGGTTACGACGACGACGACGGCGTGGACGAGGAAGAGAAGGAGGAGGAAGAGGAGGAGGAGGAGGAGGAGGAGCAGGAGGAGAAGGAGGATGATAAGGCTGGGCATATTTCTCCCCATGGAGAAAACCGCGGTGGCGCAGGCAGCCTTCGAGGCCGTGGGCATGAGGGTTGCGGCGCAGCCTGCAAGAGGGGCCTCGCAGCCAGCGCGGCCTGCAGAAGGGCTGGTGTCGTATGATGCTGCAGTCCCGCACGGGGAACTCCAGCGGATGGAGTTTTGTGACGGCGTCAGTTGGGACAGCCTCCACGCTCCGTGTGGCACCATTTCGGTGGTCCTGGCGGCACTCCGCCACGCCATCGCCGATTTCTGGAAGGTGCTGTGCGATTTCGTTTTGACAGCAGCTGGTGGCGCGGGAGAGGTTCGAGGCCTCCGGGCGTTCCTGTTTTCGGACCAACTACTCTTCGCAGCGTCGCGCAAGTGGCGGCAGTGGCAGAGACAGTGGCGCGCACGCTGGCCCCCCAGCGCAGCGGGACTGGCGCGGCATTTCTCGGCAGGGCCCTGGAAAAGACGTCGAGGCGATCAAAGGGCCGCTTGTGACGAGGATCTGCGGGTCCTGGATGGGAAGCTGCCGCTCGCTCCCGACGAGAAGGCCCGCCGATGCCTCCCGACGCTGTTCCCCAGAGCGGCCTCCCAGCCAGACGTCCTGGTCGTGCTGCCCACGAGTGAGGACATCGACAGCTTTCTGGAGCAATTGCGCATGGCGTGCGTCCACGCTCCGAGGCATCGCGACACAGGCCCGGGAGGCGCCCGAGGAAAACATTGGGCGTGGCTGCCGCACCACGAGGAAACCGGGGATAGCTTCGCCAAGGTGATCCTCAACCGGCAACTCGGCGGGGCCCCGCGCAGAGCAGTGCAGGCCTGGTTTGGCGCGCTCGTCTGGCTGGGGACCCAGAGGAACGCGACAAAGTCTGGCCGTTTGTCCTCGTCATCTTCCACCGCCATGCTGCCTCCAAGGCGGTGGGCAGGGCGTTGCGAGGCAGGGTGATGGCAGCCATCGGCGACGGCAGGTACTTCGTGGGAGAGGACGGGAGCACATTGCATGCGCAAAGCGGCGCTTCTGGATCTGGACTGCTGGCATGAGTGCTGCAAGCTTAGCCTGGGCGCCAGCCGTGCGCACGCAGCTGCAGTGCGGGCCGTCCAGGGGATGGTGCAGGATGGCCGCCCCGCGCTAATTCCCAAGGAGCAAATGTGCGACCCAGGCGACGCGTTCACCTGCAAGATCTCCCCGCTCTGCTACAAGCGCGAGGCAGACTCGGCGGTGACTGCGACTGGGGCGGCGACCGAGTCAGGACGCAGCAGGTGCCACGCAGACGATTTGGACGTCATCAGCGCGCCAGCGGTGGCGGCGCAAGCGGTGCCAGCGTTCGTGGCTGCGGCGTGGGCGTGGCCGCGCTCTCCGCGCGCCCCGCGGTGGAACCGCGGGCCCTAGTGCTCGGCCGCGGCGCGTTGCCGACGGTGCCGGCTGCTCTGGCCGCGGCGCCAGCAAAGGACAGCGCGGTGGCCGAGGGGAACCGCCTGGAGGCCTCCCGCGGGCGGTTTCATTCCTGTTTGGGAGCGCTCCGGGCCGCCGGGCTGGACTGACAACTCCCTCGCGCTGCTGCGGGTCAGGACGAGCTCCGACTGCGCCTTCCTCGTTCGCGCGCGTGTCATCCCAGCGACGGTGGCCTGCGCCCTGGACGCGGCGCTCCCGGTCGAGGCGCGGCGCGCCTGTTGCCAGCAGCTGGAGGACTGGGGCCTGAAGCAGCTCAGCCCCGCGGGGTCGGCCTGCGGGCTGGGCTTGCAAAGCGTCGAGCTCACCGCGGCGGCAGTGCAGGCGGCGTCGCGGCACCTCCCCCGCCGCGTTGTCTGCGGCGGCTCGGGGTTGACGGAGCGGGGTCGCTGGCCTGCTTTAGCCCGCGGGCGTTTTTAATTGTCTCCTGGGGGCGACGCGGACCCTCCAGACTTCTCCCGCGAGGGCGGGGCCGCCCGCGCGGGCCACTATGGGCTCGCTGCCTGGCAGAGCACTTTGGCTTCGGCCCCTCCTGCTGCAGCTGCCCGCGCATTTGCTCACGGGGCGATGGCGGCGTCGTGCGCGGCGGGGGCGGCCCCAGGGCGAGCGCTCGGCTGGGCCCGCCTTCCCTGCCCGAGCGCCGCCTTTCAAACGCGCTGTTCGGCAACGCGTGCGTCTTGGCGAGAGCCTGCCCTGATGCGCGGTGGCGCGCCGGCGCAGGCGCACCGACCGGGCGGAAACGCATGCGAGGCCGTGCTGGACCCGAAAGGCCAGCATGCGCATTCCTGCGCGGCGGGCGGTGGGGGAGGAGGGGGAGGGGGGTGGGAGAGGAAAACGTGGAGGAGGAGGACGAGGAAGAGGATGAGGAGGGGCCGGATGACTCCGTAGCCATTTCGGCTCAAGCCGCCCAGCAGCGGGCGAAGCCCCTATTGCTCAGCCAGCTTAGCACGTGGTCCTGCGAAGTTCGGCGTGACCGGAGTTTCTCTGCCGTGGATTTTTTAGGAATGGCTGCGGGCCCCCCCCCCAGCGCGAGCTGGTTGTGGGCCAGAGGGCGTCGGCCAGGGAGGCGGCAAGGCCTGGGCACGTCGCTCGGCTGCCGCGCTGTCGCGCCGCCTTCGGAGGGAGCGGGCGGCAGGCCTGGGCGGCGAATGCGCTGCGCGTTCCGTCGATGATGCACTTCTTCGACTCGACGTGCCGCCCGAGGTCGAAGAGGAGCTAAGGGCGCGCATGGAGGCGCTGGGCAAGGCTCTCATCCTGCGCTGGAGGGCCGACGGTGTGCTCGGAGCCCACAAGCATCGACTTGGCGGCGCTCTACGGGCACTCCATTCCACCCTGGGCCTGCCCGACGATGTCTTCAACTCGTTCAAGCAGGTCAAGGTGCAGGGGGACATGGCCAGACATCTCCCTCTCGGCACGGGCGCGCCGTCCGATTCGGGATCGAAGGAGGTGGCGGTGAAACCGTTCGTCTTCAACCCCGACGCGCCCGTGTTCGTGCCGATCTGAAAACCAATCGAGGAGCCGCGCCATGACATTGACTACCGCGGCATCTGGGAACCCCTCGAGACGGGCTTCGAGGGCCTGCGATGCCACTGCGGCACCGTTGTGTTCTCCTCGACGCCTATGCGGTACAACGCTCTCCCGACGGAGCGAGTCGGCACGGCTGCGCTAGATGGTCAGAGAGGCACTGATCACCAAGCCCTCTCTGCCATCCCACCGCCAAGGGGCGCTGGTCATCAAGACCCCGAGGGCGCTGTCGGAGAGGCCGCGGGCGCTGTCGATTCAAATGCCGGTCCCGAACGTTTAGACGCGGCGCTCCTGGAGGCCGGCAGAGTTGGCGGGCTGGGCCCAGAGCAGCTCAGCTGGCTCGCAGCGGCGCTCAAGGATCCGCCGATGTCCACCACGCAGGAGGAGCAGAAGGCAGCATCTTTAAACTTGTTCATTGCTGAGCGTTTGGAGGAGCTGGAAGAGTGGAGACGAGGAAGCAATCGCCCCAGGTCCTTCGTGCGCCTGCGCCAGAAGAATATTGCAGAGTTCATCGCCGAGCGCGCGACCGAGCTGGAGGTTTGGACACGTGTTCGTGGGAGTCAGAAGCCCTTCGCGAAACTGCGTCAGAAACCCGACGGGCCCAAGATGAACGAGACTCTCACCGAGAGAGATAATGACGCTTCTTTGTCAAGCTTGCGTCAGGTCGTTCGCGCGATATGCCAGGATTGCATTCGAACCAGGCGATTCGGTCAGACAAACGAGTGCGTCATATGCGCCAGGGAGCGCCGATTCGGTATTCAGTGATCTGATTCCCGCAAGCCCCTCATCCACCACCCATCCGCTCTTCTCCCACTTGCTTGCCTAGCTGTAGCATGCAGTTGGAAGGGGGTCGTCTTTGGAGGGTGAGGGTAGAGGGGCAGCGCGCGCACGCCAGCTTGTCGGCTAGGGCCTAACTGCCGCCGAGGCTGCAAGTTGCAGATGGGTGCGCCAGCTTTTGCGATTCTCGCTTCTCTCCCTCGTTCCGCACTCTATCCTTGTTGCCCTGGGCGCCCAGGGGCCCCAGTCGAAGGGATGATGTGGTGAGGATGGGAAGGGGGAGGGCCTTGCTGGTAACTGGCGTTTCTGAGCTTGCCGGGGCCAGAGCGATCCTCGCGGCCAGGACAGCGTTGAGGACAGAAGCTGGTCTCACATATCCTTCTCCAACCACCCCATCCCGTCCGCTCCCGCTTGCTTGCCTAGCTGAAGCACGCAGTTGGAGGAGATGTAGGAGTTGGGATTCGTGGTGAGGAGGAGCGACGGCGACGACGGGCTGTGGGGCTTTCACGGCGGCCTCCAAGAGCCGCAAATTGCACAATAATTGCCTTCGCGAGTCCCAACATGTTTCAACGTGATTCGAATCATGTTGCGCATCAGAGGCCAAGGTAGGAGTCGAAAGCATCACTTCAAGCTGCCCGCGGCGCTGTATGCAGCCCCCTGGCGTCCGATATCGCTCGGACCAGGCTGCCGTTACGACAGAGGCCCTTGTAGCCTACCCGTTTCCCTGACAGTTGTATAACGGATTGGTGATTATCGTATGTTTGTGGGGGGTGGGTGATCCTTCAGCTGTTTAGGGATACGGTCCTTGCGAATGCACCTCTCGAGGACCAGTTTTTTCTCCCAAACGCTGGCCCTGGCCTTAGGTTTATGCTGCGGATGGTTGTTGGGCTGTGTACTCAGACTTGGCATGTCCAGCCGATGATCCAGACACCGCTTTTGTCGGCTCCGTTGTGTTAGAGGTATGTCCCTTGCGACGGTTCCTATGTTGGCCTGCGCCTGGAGGGAAGTGGTCTGGGTCTGGGGGATGTGTGTATGACAAGGGGCGGGAGGGAATCGGAAACACTTGCAGAGTGTTGCATGAACTGCCAGCACGCAGCAGCGTGCGTACGACCTCGCATCAGAGCGTCGTTGTTTCAGTCTTCCATTCGCATGCTAGTGTGGAGACTTTATTCCGAGCTTTCCGAGGAGGCGGATGAGGAGGACGATGTTGATGATGACGATGACGATGACGATGATGGTGATGATGATGACGACAATGATGATGATGATGATGATGATGATGATGATGATGATGATGATGGTGATGATGGTGATGATGATGATGGTGCTGAGGATGATGACGATGATGGTGATGATGATGATGGTGGTGGTGGTGGTGATGATGATGATGAGGAGGAGGAGGAGGAGAAGGAGGAGGAGGACGATGAGGAGGAGGAGAAGGAGGAGGAGGAAAAGGGGGTGGAGGAGGCGGAGCAGGAGGAGGAGTAGGACGAGGAGGCGGAGGAAGAGGAGGAGGAGGAGGAGGAGGACGAGGAGGAAGAGGAGGAGGATGAGGAGGAGAGGGAGGAGGAGGAGGAGGAGGAGGCGGAGGAGGAGGAGGAGGAGGAGGAGGGGGAGGAGGAAGAGGAGGAGGAGGAGGAGGAGGCGGAGGATGAGGAGGAGGACCAGTGTAAACCCAAGAGTCACCAACGATGTTGTAATGATTCCTCCTTCCAAGCTTCCTCATCGTAGGCGCCGATAACGGTTCATTTCCATTGAGGGAAGTGCCCCGGTGGAAGACGACCGTTTGAAGATCCTGAAGCGTGCCACAATATTGTTTTCGGGATTTCAACGCCACTGTTGCGCCCGCGTAGTCCTGATTGTTTTCAAAACCATGTCTGGTACGGTGGTCATGGGAACCCGGGAAACTCTTGCAGCTGTTTGAAACGAATGTGCGCGGCGCTAAGGCGAAAGGCACATTTGGAAAAGGAACCGCCCTCAATCCGTAAAACTGGCTGCAATTTTGTAAAACGAATGTGCGCGGCGCTAAGGCGAGAGGCACATTTCGAAAACGACCCACCCTCAATCCGTGAACGCGGCGCTGAGGCGAGAGCAACATGTTGAAGAGGAACCGCCTTCAATCCGTGAATCTCGTACAAAGTTTTAGAGCGAATGTACGCGGCGCGAAGGCGACAGCCACATTTTGAAGAGGAACCGCCTGCAATCATGGAAACTCTTGCAACTGTTTAAAACGAATGTGGGCGGCGCTGAGGCGAGAACCACAATTTGAAATGGAGCCGCCCTCAATCCGTGAAGCTCTTGCAATTTTTAGAAGCGAATGTGCGCGGCGCTAAGGCGAGTGCCACATTTTGAAAGCGCCCCGCTCTCCATCTGTGAAGCTGTTGTCACTTTTTAAGCTTCAGAGTCAGAAGTGGTGAGGAAGTCTCAGGCGAAACGCCCGGCCCGCCCGAAATATTGGCCTGGGGGTGCGACAGGCAGAATTTATTCCCCACATGCTTCGTGGGGTTTTGGTTTTCTTCCCACCCGCGCCGCACCCGCGTCTCACCCACACCCGCCCTCCTCCCCTCCTCCTCCTCCTCCTCCTCCCCCTCCTCCTCACGCACACAGCACAGCGCAGCGCAGCGCAGCGCAGCGCAGCACAGCACAGCACAGCACAGCACAGCACATCACAGCGCAGCGCACACAGCACAGCACAGCACAGCACAGCACAGCACAGCACAGCACAGCACAGCACAGCACAGCACAGCACAGCACAGCACACACACACACACACGGCTTGGCACGTGCGGCACATTCTCGACGCCATAGGGGTCGTCCACGGCACAGCAGGCGTGGCAGTTTTGCACAGCACACCTGCACAGCACAGCACAGCATAGCACAGTACAGCACACCGCAGCACAGCACGGCACGGCACAGCACAGCACATCGCAGCACAGCTCAGCACAGCATATAGCACACAGGGCAGGCGCGCAGGGCACGGCACGGCAGAGCGTGGCAGGGGTGGCACTTTCTCGACACCACAGGGGGTGCGCAGGGGGTGGTCCCTGAGCTCGGCCGCTATGCACGACGGTTGTCCAGGCACAGCAGGCGTGGCACGTTCTCGACACCAGAGGGGGTGCGCAGGGGGTGGTCCCTGAGCTCGGCCGCTATGCACGACGGTTGCCCAGGCACAGCAGTCGTGGCACTTTCTCGACACCATGGGGGTGCGCAGGGGGTGGTCCCTGAGCGCGGCCGCTATGGACGACTGTCGTCCAGGCACAGCAGGCGTGGAACTTTCTCGACACCAGAGGGGGTGCGCAGGGGGTGGTCCCTGAGTTTGACCGCTATGCACGACGGTCGCCCAGGCACAGCAGGCGTGGCACTTTCTCGACACCATAGGGGGTGCGCAGGGGGTGGTCCCTGAGCTCGGCCGCTATGCACGACGGTCGTCCAGGCACAGCAGGCGTGGCAATTTTCTCGACACCAGAAGGGGGTGCGCAGGGGGTGGTCCCTGAGCTCGCCGCTATGCACGACGGTCGTCCAGGCATAGCAGGCGTGGCACTTTCTCGACACCATAGGGGTGCGCAGGGGGTGGTCCCTGAGCTCGCCGCTATGGAAGACGGTCGTCCAAGCACAGCAGGCGTGGCACTTTCTCGACACCACAGGGGGTGCGCATGGGGTGGTCCCTGAGCTCGGTCGATATGCACGACGGTCGTCCAGGCACAGCAGGCGTGGCATGTTCCCGTCACCAGAGGGGGTGCGCAGGGGGTGGTCCCTGAGTTCGGCCGCTATGCACGACGGTCGTCCAGGCACAGCAGGCGTGGCACTTTCTCGACACCACAGGGGGTGCGCAGGGGGTGGTCCCTGACCTCGGCCGCTATGCGCGACGGTTGCCCAGGCACAGCAGGCGTGGCATTTTCTCGACACCACAGGGGGTGCGCAGGGGGTGGTCCCTGAGTTCGGCCGCTATGCACGACGGACGTCCAGGCACAGCAGCCGTGGCACTTTCTCGACACCATGGGGGTGCGCAGGGGGTGGTCCCTGAGCGCGGCCGCTATGCACGACGGTCGTCCAGGCACAGCAGGCGTGGAACTTTCTCGACACCATAGGGGGTGCGCAGGGGGTGGTCCCTGAGCTCGGCCGCTATGCACGACGGTCGTCCAGGCACAGCAGGCGTGGCACTTTCTCGACACCATAGGGGGTGCGCAGGGGGTGGTCCCTGAAGCTCGGCCGC